CACTTTTATAATACGAACAAACTATAATAAATTATATATTTATTAATATAAGAAAATTTTTATCGTTTCACATTCACTCCGTCAATAATTCTAAATCGTAGAATTTTAAGTCATTCTAATATGTTATCAAATGACTGACATTTAAAGCATTTGGTTGATAATTTATTACAACCTGTATATATTATTATCATCCACGTATATCAGGTGGGTACGTAGGTATAAATGTATATAATATACGGTAACACAAATGGTTTTTTTTCTTATCAAAACGTTAAGCAACGAATAATAATTTATGGAATTTATTTATACATCAAATAATATTACCAAGCACGTATACAGGGGGGGGGTATCATCCAACCCCTCCCCCCAAAAAAATTTATAGTTGTGTATTACATCAGACGAAATATTGACGAAGAGTAAGCCTTAAGAAAACATACAGACGACCGGATTTTGCAAGCCTTCATCTTCCGTCCGATTTTTTATAATAAATAGTTAGATTGTGGTAAACAGACATAGTGACGTTTTTCGCCGGCCGGTCAGTTCACCCAGCTCACCGTTTCCGGCATATTTCCGCTCTCGGAAGAACACTGCCGAACTGGGCGAACTGACCGGCCGGTGAAAAACGCCACTGTCTGTTTACCACAATCTAACTGTATATAAAAAAAAACGGATGGCAGATACAAAATTCGATTGTCTGTTTGTTTTCTAAACAAATTTTTATCTCATCATTCGACTTCTCATACAATTTTTGTTAAGTTTCGTTCCATTTAAATCGTATATCACATTTTCCTTATAATATTATTATAAGCATATCACAGTATAATACAACTTTTAATACAGCGCATAGATAATTTTTAACAACGTAGGTTTATACAGATATTATCATTAATACGATAATTAAGATAATTTGAACTTCGTTATTGGACTAAATAATTTTGATTTATGCGATCATTCAATATACACTACAGTAATTACTTTCTGTAATGTCAATTGCCATATAAATCATTCATATCACTTAGATTTTATTTTTTTTTACCATATTATATTAGTGCAATATATGTATACTGTGTAGTACAATCAAATTTAAAAAAAAAAAATGAACATGTGTAAATTAATATATTACTTGTATAAATAACTGTTCAATGTTGTAATGCGATGTAAAATATTAAAATTAAAAATCATTTGTAATTTACTATTATACGAATATAAATTATACAGATAAGCCTGGACTGAGATTTTTAAAATATGAATCCTGGTATTAAAAATATTGACTTTTTACTTTTTATTTATCAAATTTAATACATTTCTACCTAATAGTACCATAAATAAAACTGATATATATAAATGATATTCATTCTCATATAGTAATATTATTTTTTGTTAAGTTTATTGTTTATAACTATTCATTATTCAAACTTCAAAGTAGTTATTCTTGAATATTTTTCTGATCATCCATCGGTAATCCGATGTAAGATACATTTTTTTGTTTCGTTATGAAATACATAGGTATACTATTAATGTCTTTTGTTATTTGTAATTGTTATGAATAATAATAATTATAGTTAGGAATCGCAATTTCTGAATAATTATCTGAAAAATTATAATATAATAAATAATAATGGATCACGATCAGCTGTATTTAAAGCTCGTCGAACGATTTTCCACGGGCATCTGGCAACAAGTGCATCAGCCAACTCCCCGCTGCAAGTGCCGCGGTCGAACGAGGGTGAACTTCCTCACCCCATTTACGGTACATACGGTAATATAATACGCGGCCGCGTAATAATGTTGTGCATAGGGGTTCGAAAAGGATTGTCTTTTCTTTTTTTTTGACGGGATTATCGAGTAATAATTCGATACGTCGGAGGGTTATTCGCAAGTGGATGATATATGATAAGGGTGGTAAATGGTGAACGCGACGCAACGCATTCGTTTCGAACGGACTTAGTATTATATAATATTATTATTGAATCGATGGGCAAAGTCTTATCGTAAGTCCCGATTTAATATACGTTTCGTTGGGCACGCAGGCCATCGCCGCTAAATTAAATACCTACAACAGTAATCATTGCAGTTATAAATAGCATGATGTATACTTATATATGTACCTGCTATAATCTCACCACGTACGCAACACATACTGCGGTCGTAGTATAAAATATTTATATGGTATTGTTCGCTCGTGTTATTGACAACGAAACTTAACACGTGCAACGTTCGACTTCAATTATATAGGAACACTCTATTTAGAATTAATTCTTTATTAGGCTCCCCTCGATTCGCAACAAAGCTATTAAAATAATAGCGTTTGATATGATATTATTATGTATATTATTTTATATCACACGACTATGTAACGGTAATAAAATCAATGAATGCCAGTAACATACATTTGCTTGTAGACTGCACATAAGTGATTTGTAGAAATATACTGTTACTGTTGAAGGCAATACTGAAATATGTAGGGGTAGTAGGTATGATAATATTTACCTGTGAATTAAAATAATGAAATTTAGTTTTTTCGTTATAATAATATGTATATTTTATATCATAATAAAATATATTACAAATTACAATTCTGTACTATAACTATATTATTCAATTGGTATTGACTCAGCTATGTCGAGATTCACTACCTCCACGCTTTAAAAATCTCAATGTTGTAATAGAATTATATTGTTATTTGGGGTTTGACCGCACGCTAGTTTCTTACCAAGGTCAATATTGTGGAACTTAGACCTTATAGACTTTCATACCTATAACTAGGTATTAAAATACTAAAGAGCACAATTTATGCGACTTATTTCCGAGAACACAAACCTTAGAAATAATATAAGATTAACATTGACAGTACCTACCTAATCAAATGTTTAAATACTCGGTATTGTTAATAGCACACATACCGTGTAATCAGTGATTAGTATTTTTTTATGAAGAGTTTTTAACCATATTATATTCATGTATACACAAGTATATTATACAATGATGTTTCTAACTGATACAAAACATAGATACAAAAGGTCAGTCTACAAATATTGAATAATATGACAACGTAGATCGTTCGTTCAGGACGTGTCGTATTATTAAATGTATTCAATATGATAAATCGAAAAAGATAACAATCTAATTGATCTTTAATCCCACGACGCCTTAGTATATACATGGGTATCTCGTATCTGTCATCTGATAAATTTAGTGATCATTACATAACCTACTTCAATGTGCAAAATTGAACGATCGAAATTTATGTTAATGCCTTAATGGACATCCTTGTCAATATCGTTCGAGAGAGTGAACAAGATGGAGTAATGGTTGAAGACAATCCCTTTTTGTTCAATGAATTTTTAATTTCTATACCAATAGTAATAATAACAATACACAGAAAACTTCAATACTTTTTACTGTTCCTCGGTTTAACTTTTCACTGATAAAATATATATGTTTTTAAATATAAACGTCATATTTGATCATCGGACTATGTGATTTAGGGGAAATCCTAATTAAAATACTTATATAGTGTTTATAGATACTTAAGTATATTCACAATACAGCCATACAGGGTGTAGTAGGGTTCCACTAAAAATACGTCATCTGCAATATAATTAATATGTCAATCCATAATATTTTTATATAATATAATGTATTATTCTGTATTTGTGCATATTTGAAGAATTTAAAATAATTTTTGATTGTAGCTCAATGAGCCAAAAAAATAAAAAACTTACATATCACTATATATTTTGAAGTAATGTAATTTACACAATTGTGTTTTATAAATCTATGTTTACTTACCATATAAAAAATCTTTGACGATTGTTCTCATCTTCTCAATTACTTGAAAAAGTTATTGATTTTGGTCCTTTTTCGCAAAACAAAATCACAATTTTGTGTAAGACCAATTTCACGTGCTGCTGTTTCATTGGCTGCTTTCAGTTCTATGACTCTTATTCTTAGCTTATTTTATTAGTCGTATTTTTTCATGAACCTACTTGGATGATTTCTCGAAAAAATTGTACAACAAATTATGTGCTTCAAAAGTTTTTTGGAATTATTTTAAAAAGAAGTGTGATAACTGATAAGTAATTGCATGTTCGGTATACTGCGTTTGTCCAGTTTGATATACTTTAGAACGGTATATATTAATTGATTGTATATGCGTGTCTGTCTAATGATTATAAATCGTAAGTATTGAATTTCAATAAAACAAAAAACTTGTTTATTTATTTTTAACTAGTTTTTTTTTATGATAATTATACAATTTTCAAGCACACAGTTGTAACAACAAAATCAACTTCATATTTTAAGTTTCTATAAAATTATTTTTCTTACATATATTTTGGTTCACTATGCATTATCAATTAGGTACTGCTCTCTAAAGTTTAGCATATTTATTAAGAATTTTTAATTAAGATAATGATAAAACAATTAAAAATTAGGTATTTAATTTGCTGGAGCTAGATAATTTTGTTTTTATAATGTTTAATCGGAAATCTAATGACACAATAGATAAAACCATTTAATAATTTTGAGGATAGATAGCAAGAAAATAATTTATAAACGTAGTTATTTATTATCATTTTAATATAAAATAATATAATTTATAATTATTACACTTATTGCAAAATCATAATTAATTGATAAATTGCATATTATTCCCTCATACTAAATTTGCTTACTTTAAATAGCTTACATTTGAATATTTGATTGCAGGTGGCTGAGGTAATGATAGTATAGTATTCTATTAATATTTTAATAACATGGAAATTCGTTACTAACACATTTTACATAAACCTACGTAAAGCATTACAATGGACGATTTAAATATTAAATGAAAGTCGTAAATAAAAAAAAATAAAAATAATTTATTAATATATCTAATAATAATAATAAAAAAACGCATCTCAGTCACACTCCGAGATCGGAAAAATAAGATAAGAAGAAATCACAAACAGACGCGGGCGACGACCAATCGTGTTTAATCATGTCTCGGCGATCATGCGATGACGGGCGCCGTTGGAGTTTCCACTGACCATGGTCGTGCCGATGTCCGCCGCCCGGAGCCCATCGTTGGCACGCACCCGCAACAGGTGGTCGATCACCGCGTCCTGGCCCGACTTGCACGTGCCGACCGGATGCAGCAAATGACGCTGAACGTGAAGTGCAATCGGAGCACTCGGTCCCAATCGTACTCGTCGCCGATAAGCTCTGCCTTGTCACACCTCGGCAAGGGCATTAGCCACGGCCTTGCGCATTGCACTATTGAGGGGTTGGACACATTAAACGTACACGGAGTTCCAGTGTGCGAAATATAGTTCGGGTCCGTGATGACCGGATGCGCCAGCGGGTTCTCGTTCTACACTCGGTCACGCACCCAACTGCGGACCACTCCACTGTTTGGGACGTAAAATCAGCGTCCTGCACGACTCATCGATCACCAGCGACGGATACACCGCGGTCGCTGTCCGAGTTGTAAAGGAACAGTTCGCGAATAGTGAACTCGCATAAATGTGTTAAAGAACGACAGGCCTCCACCCTGCTGGTCGTCTTCACAGCGCCCCTGGTTCATCGTGTAGCCTAGGGCCGTGGCGGCGAAAAGGAAAACGTTTGGAACGTGACGATCGGAACGTCGAAGATTAACGTTATCCTGCGCAGCCAACACACGGTCTAGGTCACCGACGTCGTACACTTTCAGCAGCCACTGTCGCGCACCCGATGGAGCCGCCGCCCGGGCCACCTGCAAGCTGCGCAGCGACACGTAAACGATGGGTCGCAATGGGATCAACGTTATTATCGAGTCGCATAGGCAGCTGCTTGCTGGCCTGCATGATCATAAGCCAGTTCTTGTATACGAGCCGTGTCGATGTCGTTGTCCAGCTCTTCGCTCTGCGGCCACGGGCGCGGTGGCCAGCCGGGTCCGTTGCGCGTATTGTGACGCGGACAGGAAACAGTCACATTCGTGATACTCGATCTTGGTTGCTTTTATTCTCGAATTGAGTGAGTATTGTAGCTATACAGATGAGGTGGCTTTTTACGCAGCCTACCGATCGTTGTATACCATCGGTGCTGCCGTGGCAGTATATGCGGGATGTCAGTGGACGGTGTGGCCATTTCACAATGTCAGACCACGTCGGACATTAGCAGCAACGATAACGACGGTACTCTCTTCTCCACCGGCCACTAACCTGGCCAGTACAGTTTCGGTACCAGTAGCATCCAATACTAAATATGAAGTATTATATTATTATTATTATGTTTTACATATTATTTTTTATCAGTACCTTCTTGAAATATTATAATCAAATTTTATTACTATAATTTTAAACGTTTGCAGTTCGTTTATATTACTATACTATAAAGTTAGGTTCGAGTATCGATTTTTAACACGTTGCAATGAAATATTTACAGAATCCATTTATTGACAGCAAGTTTGACATGATAGGGACTTTATAGAACGTTATTAATACAAAGCTGTTAATTAAACATTTATCGAGAGTTAATTGTTTGGTAAGTATATAAATAGTATAGATACCTAGCAAGTGGGGTTCATCCATGAAATAATTCAGATTTTCTATTTAACTAGCAGAAAATCTATTTTATAATTACCTATATATTAACTTAAATATAAAATCTAGATTGACAACGGTTTGGAGAATACAGTCCGGATAATATAGCTGTTACGTATTATGTTAACTTAAATTATTTAGCAAAACCAAATGAATAATTAGCACTGTTTAAAGATTACCTACAGGATAATTACTAATCGTCTAATCATATTAGTAATAGGTAGGTGACCAAACATCAATTGAGCCCCGATATAATATTGTATTTACATCCAACCAAATCTCGAAGATCGCCAATTTATTCGAATCATTTATAAAGTCTCGTGTATTCATATATTTAATGGCCGCCTGGCCTACACAAACCTAGGTAAAAAGAAAAAAATCACCTCATCGTATCTTTATCATCGTTATTATAATATATTGTTTAATGGGAACAATACATCATTTTGGACGACAACTACTACAACAGCGGTATAATATTATGATGGACTGCGAACGCATACACGTCATAATATGCGCAACACACGATTTATCCAAGTAAAAACGTTCGTTTTGCCTAGGGTGTACTCGAGAGTAGGTATGAACCTAGTTGTATATAATATAGTACGGCATAGACGTATATTACATAGTAGCCGACCACGCCTAGACAATGTTATTAATATAGTAATAATATAATATAATTTAACGGGCGTTTACCTATTTCGTAGCCGCGGCGCATTGAAAACACACCGAAAGCAGTGGTAAGCGTTTTATTTTTTGAATGAATATTATAATCCACGTGTGGGTTTTACTGATATTACGAGCACTCTGGGCGTGAAAACGACTTGTCAAAGAATCGTAATTAGAATATAGAAAACAAAAATCGATGGACGTCTCTTTGTGATATTAAATCGACGATCAACCATCACTCGTTCGACGACATTCAAACGATGTCGAAGGATAGTATAATAAGCAGTACAATTTGTTAAGCAATTTTTTTTGGTGGTGGTGAGAGGACGTATAGAGTAACTATACTAAGTAGAAATAGATAAGTTTCTCTCTAGTCGAAATTAAAGTTGTTTTTTTTTCTCATTTACCATTCAGATTTTTGATTCCTAAGAAGAAATGTACAGCCATACAGGTATAATATTAATTTTACGATATTATAAAAATATATTTATGTGAATTCTCCAGAATACAAAATAAAATAAGTTACGACTATCTATATGTACGATGCATAAGCCCAGACTTTGATTGCCCAGATTTTTTTGCATCGAATCAGACTTTTTGCACGAATTTATTATGTTAGTATATTGGTATGTAATTACTAATTAGCATGAATTTGCAAATACAAAATAGAAATCACATGACATATATTTGTCTTACCACAAAACCAAAAATCAATTAGCAGGACTGCCGTAATAATGTACTTAATATTTCGTTTATCAAAAAAATTAAATAATTATATACCTAAAGGCTAAAGTTAAATTTTGAGTATAGAATATTTTCCACTTCTATTTTATTGTAGGTACCTGTATATTTGATGGGATTTGTAGGGAAAATTGTCCGGTTTCAGGAGGCGTGAATCAAAAAACCACTAGACCCCTCACTCCTCTCAGAATCTAAAAGTTTTGGAACCGCTGGTCTAATGATATATGAACATTAATTGTAGTGTACATATAGTGGTAATTGGTATTAAACTATTCAGGTATAATATTAATCAACATTTTTATTTCAGGTTAGACTGGGGTAGCTATACTTGCTGGTTCATCCGGGACTGTACCGGTTTTGAATATAGCGTGTCATTGTCCCGATAAAAAGTTTCAATTGTCCCGGAATCAAATTTCAATTATTCATGTTAACATTTTGTAATTTTGTTTTTACTTAACATTTCTAAGAAACAAAAAACAATATTGTTTTATTAAATAATAAAATTAGCAAGTTGATTATTTGATTGACTGACGAAATCTATTTTAAAATTATTTGCCTGGCTTTGTGACGACAATTATTAGTAAATATACGTTCGTTGTTTCCTGCTCCCCTCGACAATTTTTGTAATCAATTATCGCTAGTTGATAATTTTGTCGGTTACTCATTTGGATTCGTATGTAACGTTGAGTTAGTTTTTGCCTTACAAGCATAATAATATGTTGTAGAGTGCTCAACATTGTGTTATAGACTAGAACTTCTAGTTACAAAAAAATTGTGTGTTAAAACTGGTTGATCTGGGAGGAGTGGTACGATTTTTTCCATCAATGTTTGTCCCGGTTTATGTAGTATACAATATGGCAACCCTACTGTATTGCTATACTCTTTAAATCAAGTTGTATAATATTTAAAATATAAATCAGATGATTGGTGCAATTAAATTGAACGCAACAAATTATTTAAATTAGTTTAACTCAAGTTCGTTGTATCAATATTGAATATTGACTTTTCTCCGAACAAAATAATATAATAATTAATTATAACAGAAATGATTTTCAAGAAAAACTATCATCATTATGATTAGTAGATAATTATTAATTACCTAGTGGCGACTTTATATAATATTTACGATTAATATTATGTTCTTTTGAACAGCTATTGTTCATATATGTATTAATAATTAATGCATTTTTAGTAGGATTTCTGAATTCTATCCATACAGAAGTAAGTGTGACACACTGAGTGATACTACATCACAATTTACAGTGTTTTACCGTTTGAGTACTAATATATACAACATGGGACACAGCAAATGTGTACCTCACACGTTATTTTCATCGACCCCTAATGTGTCACTGTGGACTTTTAACCCTTGTACAGCGTCGGACTGCAAACAAAAATCAATAGAATTTATTTATTTCTGATGGATGCTTCGGTCCAACTTTTTATGCGGTTTGGAACCAAAGAAAGTTTTGAAAAGTGTTCGTCACCGCGTTAGTGCTTGGTAAGTAGTAAAATGTAACGTCGATATGGATGTACATAAGACATAATTATTAAAGTGTAGGTTCTCTACAGTTAGAAAATCGAAATTTCGAAATGCACACCAATCTGAAATGCGCGATCGACCGGTTTTGAGGCGAGTCCGAGAGACATTAGAGAAATGGGTTATTATGTTATTATTATTATTAATATTATATATATTTATATATTCTCTATATAATATTCGATATGTTTGTCGCTTGTGGTCACGAAAGAGAACGGACACATCGGCGGTCGGGTTTATTCTGGTTACCGCTATTCGACTGTAAATAATTAATGTACCGGGTACATAATATTAATGGATATAATAATATTATTATACATAATATGTATTACATATTTACAATTTACATATTAGGAAAATAAAATAATAGTTCCAAAATGCGTGTATACAATATATGAATATAATGCTTTGATGAGTCTGTTAATGACCAGGGAATGTAATTCGTTTATCCTCTTGCATTTTGCGGTTAACAGGTAAACATATAATATTACCATGACAGAATAATCATTATTAGACATTAGTTATAAGTTATTATTATCAAGATATTATGTTGATCGTGTTTTTTTTTATTATGATTATATTACAACTGAAACCAAAATTAATTTGTATAAAACGTAAACTGGTATGTAGATTTGAAGTTAGTTTATGTAAAAATATTATATTTTATAGTTACTCATCAAAATTGTTTTATGTTTATCAGTTATCTATCACTAATAATAATATTAGGACTGTCGATATTTTCACTTTGTAATTATATGGACTACTTATAAAAAAATATCATTACCAATGTAAAACGAAAAGA